GTCCAAGGTAGAACCCCTTGATAATCAAGGGTCACCTCGAAAGTTTGGGCTTGATCTTGGGGTTTAGGGTTTAGGGTTTGGCATCTTTGTTGATTTGGGCTCATTATTCAGCTGGCTTACAAGCTGCTTGGGAATTTTGTAGCAAGGTCCTCGCGGGATCTACCTTTGAAAACGGAGGCCGCAAAACCTAGACACGGATCAGGTGTTGCTTTCTGATATGCGCGTATTTACGAGCGTTGGCATGTTTCAGGCTGAGGCCTTGCAACTGCCAGGTCTATTTGGGGGTCCATGGGTACTAGGAAGCTACTTGTACTTGTAGTTCTGCTCAAATTATAGCCGTTGCAGAGGGCTAAGGGGTTTTATAACAGTACCCTGCCTCAGACTATTTTGGGAACCCCAATCCTAAACGCATTTTTTGGCTGGTTCCAGCCCCAGGGATAAGGTCTTCAAACGTATCTATCATGCACCCTTCAAGTATCTCTCTGCGCCCAAATATCGTACAAAGCCTCTAAGTCACCCCTGGGTTCCCTTGTAATTCCCTTCTCAGGGTCCTGGACCGCCCTGTCTGGAGTCCTTTAAGATGCGGGCACATGTAGTCAACCCTAAACCCTGAACCCTAAATTCTGAAACCTACACCCTAGCCTCTGAACCCCAAACCTTTAATCCCAAACCCTAAAAACCTACGCCCTGAACTTTGATGAAAACTCTACCTTGCCACTCAACAAAGGTACCCCAAGGGCGTTTATGTAGTTCCCTTGGCGTTTGTCTTGGTTTTTCGGTAAGGGATGATTAATATACTACTCAACAAGGAACTACATAGGAGGTTCTGGTTAGGGATAAAAAGGGCATAGAAGGGATATAGGGTGCTTCAGTTGGAGGGTTCTAAGAATCATCCTCCCCCAACCCTAAGATGCCATGTTTGTTTCACGGAGTGTCGCCGTGGAAAGTCTACTACCGAATGCTCTGTGTGGGGCCATAAACAGAGTTGGTCTACGGCCGAAAAAAATCCTTAAACTTTAAATCCCTAAACCCCAAGTCCTGAATCCCTAAGCCCTAAACCCTAAACCCTAAACCCTAAAGCCCTAAACTCTAAACCCTATGCAATTCTGATGCTCAGACACTTCAGGCTTGCTCGGAGATGCCCCTGCCCTACTCCTCACCCCTCCCTTAATCGGGTTTAGGGTTTAGGGTTTAGGGTTTAGGGAATGAGTCTAGGATTCTTTATATGGTTTGGGGTATAAGCCTTCATCAATGGCGCACTTCACTCTGCGCCCATGTCATATACCCATACAATCCTCTACATGCCCAAACTGTAAGGTCCAGTCCAAACCCCAAACCCCTCACACCCCCCCCCCAAAAGAACATAATGGTACCATATTGGGGGATCCCCTACAATCCCTACAATCCCTACAAGGTTTTGAAGGTTAAGGCTCCCCCGGTCCAAGACTGCAGGAAGACTTGGGCTACCTGTTCGACGCTCGTGTGCCCCGAGGCCGTCCTTGCAATGGAGGAATTAGAGTCTACCTAAACCCCAAAAGTATGTAGAATAATATATAGCCCTAAACCCATAATAAAAGCCATAAAGGCTACTATTTTACATCATTTGGGGGTCCAGGTAGGGATCTCCCTGAGCATGGCTGGGTTTAGGCTTTAGGGTCTCGGTTTATCGTCCGAAGAGTAGCTGAAACTAGACTTCTCGGCGCTGCAGGCAGGCCACGCGCACCGCAGTTAAGGACAGCACGTACTGTGGAGAGCTGAACAGTTCGGAAGACTGATCTACCCTTCATAATGAGAAGTATGGTGAGCCATTATTACTTCGAAGCCGTGTTGATGTATTAGGCTTCGTTTCATGTGACCCCATGATTTGTGTGTGGGGTCTGTGCCGTTTAGGGTTTAGGGTTTAGGGCTTCTGGAAGTTAAGTCTGCTCTAACCACACGGGGTATTTGGAGGGTCAGGGGGACTTAGTACGTAGGTTTATAACGGGCACAAGTAGGGTTACTATAAGGGTTACAGGGGTTGCTAACCTACCTACTAATTCCCCCTGACCCTCCAAGTAGTTGATCAAAATCCCTGGTCCCAAAATGGCCCTTATCAAAGACGATGTCCCCTTATAGTCTCCAGTATATTCAGGCGTACTGGAAAGTTCAATAATTTCCTCCCCATGTAGAGCAAAGATGTGATATTTGTGACCTCAGAACCGCAAGAGGTTTTGAGGGGCCCCTATTGAAGGTCACTATTTCTGTTTTTCTGAACCACTATTGGTAGGGGGTGGGGGGCTCCCAAGATTAAAAGAGGGACCCACATCTTACTAAATAAGCCTTGCTATAAGAACTCCCAGAGAGGGACGCCTAAGTTTTGGAAGCCCTATCTTTATGGCACATATCCCTATGTTTCCTTCAACATTTCTTGTGAAGAGAACAGTGACTTTTTGAAAGCACCCCCAATGATCTTTCTTCCTGGCTTTAGGCTGAGGATTTTGCAGCTTTTTTCCCAGTAGCCGTGCAATGATTTTACATGACAGGAAGAACTGCAATCTAGGATTTGGAGTTTAGGGTTCCAGGGTTTTAGGCTCTCAGGATTTGTAGGGTTTTGTAGGGTTTACAGTGGCTGGATAGGGTTTCCCATCCAAATCACATCCGCTCTGCGGACACGGCCAATACGTCCGAGAGCAGGAAAGATCGGGGGGAATTTCGGAGGATCCGAGCCGAAGGCAGGCTCCATTACAGGCGGCAGCTTCTGTCAAGCGGCCTACCTGTGGCAATTCGGAACCAACGATCTGCTTGGTATAACCAGCAGACTGAACAACTCCTCCTGAACGACCTCTTGCAGTTTGTGGTCGGCATTTTTAAGGAACCGTTCCTTGCTGACTTCAAGAAATCAGCCCGCCAAGGACCTTCAGATCGACCCCCAAGTCCCTGTAGTTTGTGGTTAATTCCTGAAGAATCCGGACATAATTACACATGAGTAGTATTTTATTTGGGGATACTATGGTACCCATTATAGAGTAAGATTCTATCTTCTTTTTGGGTATAGTATCTTTTATAAGGGATATAATCTTGCTGGGTTTCCCCAAAAAAACACTACTCACATGATGTGCGATTTTTTGAAAGGCAGACAAGAAGGCCTTCCATAGAGCTGGCAGAACATGCATCAACGGGATGCAAGACTTAGGTGGACTCCCCACCCAGTAATAGTGACTATAAGTAATAGTAAGGATAATACTAGGGTCGTCTTATATTCCTATTATACCACTATTACAGGGTGGGGGGGTCCTCCTAATGCATAACTTGTACAGTTCGATTTTCCATTCCGCTTTGTAGGGGGTAAGGACCAACGAGTTTGAGCGCCTGTTGTACGGTGCCATGAATTGTTCACTGCGCTTTGCTAAGGGCAGTAAGTTTCTCCTTGGGACTTAGTTTGGACCTTAGACCCTTAACCCTTTGGGATTCCTTATATTCCTATTATGAGGACCTAATGGTTAGCCCTTAGTAGGGGTCCTAAGTGCCACGTAGGAAAGTTTCTGAATCATCTCAAGCACGAAGGCGCAGCACCCCAAACAATATCTTCCAGAATCTCGCAACTCTCAACCGTACAACCCTACTGCAGAATCCTGGATGACGCTAGGAAGAATAGCCCCGTGAAATCCTCATGCAACTAAACCCTAAACCCTGAACCCTATAATGGCAGTAATTAGTCTTAACCCCATTGCAAGTATGCATGCCCCAAACCCTAGACCTTGAGCCCCAAGCCCTACAACCCTGACAACCCTTAGGGATGCCAGGCCTTAGGCCCTAACCCTAAGGCTCCAAATAGCCCAATGTAGGTCATATTTATAGACTTTGGGGCCCAATGTAGGCATTATTTATAGACGTGGAGCCCTAGGGTAAGCCCTGCAACCCTGAACACCCCAAAGGGTCCACGGTTTTGGGCCAGCAGGTCTCAACCGTTCAAGGGCCCTTCGGAGGGACCCAGAGAAAGGATCTTAAATCCTAGTACTTTATATGAGCCATAATCTAAACTCCTTAAAGGGGGGTTATATAGGGGATTAGGGTTTAGGGTTTAGGGTTGTCTAAACTCCTTAAAGGGTGGTTATATAGGGGATTATATAGGGGATTACTGTAGGGGCTATTAAGGGGGATACTGGGAGTTTAGACTACAGCTTATATGAGCTCCTGTCAATATTTGCCCTATTAAGGGGCCCTTCAGAGTGGACATAGGGGTCCCTCCTGTACTTTAGTATAGTCCCTAGTGGCCCTAGTATAGTCCTTAAAAAGAACCCACGTCCATTGAATTATGTAGGAAATATTGACTGTAGCTCATATGCAACCCTAGGGCTCCAGTTACCTAAATACTGGGAACTGGGTTCTATATACCCTTTAGGTCCATAGCCCAGTAGCCTACTGTTTAGGAAACTGGGAGCCCTAGGGCATTAAGGCTAAACCCCTTACACCCTAAACAGTCCCGGTACCTTAAGCCTATCAAGGGTCTTTTTTGAAATCCCCAGAACCGGGAGGTTGGACCAACGACCCCTCCGGGGCCGAGATCTCGTGGCTGATGCCTAACCTCGGAGGCATCTGGGGCTCACTTGAAAGGACCCTGGAGTTAGGGCGCAGGGGTTGATGCTATATCCCGAAACGCCTCAACCCAAAAACCTTCACAACGCTTTTGTACCCCTTTTAAAAGTAGAGTCCACTTAATAAGCACCTTATAATCCTTCTGTATCCATTCTTAAAAGTAGCTACCCAACACACGAGTAACCCCCGGTCCCACAAAATTGGGTCCAAGGACGACATCCCCCCAAGGGACCGAGAATTCATGAGGTTTGTAGGGTTTATAGGGTTTATAGGGTTTTAGGGTTTTCGGGTTTTGGGTTGGGGTTATGGGTTTGGGGTTTAGGGTTTAGGTACCAGTACTGATGTTGCGTCCTACCTAGGACACTTGTTTGAAAAATCGGGGCCTGGCCCTAAGACCTCGACCCTACACCCTGAAAGGCTGAGGGATTACAGAAGTTGGGGCTGAAAGGCGTTAGTTTAGGGTTTAAGGGTTTAGGGTTTAGGGGTTTTGGGCTTAGGGTTTAAGGGTTTAGGGTTTAAGGGTTTAGGGCTTAGGGTTTAAGAGTTTAGGGTTTAGGGTTGGGCTCACCCCTGACGTCTTCACGAGGTCAGAGTTTCGGGCCTAGGGTTTAGGTCTTCGGGATTGTTGCTGAGGCTCGTGATTAGAGTTTAGCGTTTAGAGTTTGGGGTTCAGCCCTTTTCACCACCCCTTGCATGGATTCGGAAGGGTCTCGACATATCCTAGGACATGCACGGGTCAGCCTCTAAGTGCGAAGTACTGGTAACAGGGATACCAAAGTCCCCAACTTAGGCTGAAACTATCCTCTCCATTTCATAAGGATTCCAGTATCCTGTAAACCCTATAGACCCAAGGGTTTAGGGTTTAGGGTTTCAAGTTCATGGCTCCAACCTTAATGACCTTAACTTTGTTGAACATGTTTGTGGTTCTTTGGGGGCTTGTGGTGTTGGATTTTGGCTTTAAGTGTGGGCTGTTGTCCAGGAGCCTGACAACATGAGGTGAGATACTGTCGCCGTTGAGAACATAGTGAAGGCATTTTTGGATTCGAAGCCCTAAGCACAAAGCCCTAAACCCTAACCCCTAAACTCAACGCCCTGAACCCTAAGCCCCTGAACACAAAGCCCTAAGCCCTAGACTCCTAAACTCAAAGCCCTAAACCCTACACCCCAAACTCAAAGCCCTAGTCCCTAAACCTCTAAACTCAAAGCCTTAAACCTTCAACACGAAACAGGTTGGTTCACTGGCCTGACCGAGCGTCAAGCGAGCCTTAGCATCCAAGGGTGATGGATTTAGGGTTTGGGGATTGTGGGGTTTGGGGTTTGGGATTAGGGTTCAGGGCTTTGAGACTTAGGGTTTAGGGTTTGGGGATTTAGGGTTTAAGGTTTTTGGGTTTTGGGATTTAGGGATGTGCAGGTTAGGGTTCGGGGCTTAGACCCTAGGGGTTAGGGTATAGGATAAGGGTTCAGGGTGGCTGTTTCTGGTGTGTTTCTAAGTGAATTCCAGCGTTTCCTGTGTGTGTCTTTCCTGTTTTGTGTGTTTTTTGGCGCGTTTGTGACTTCTGGGAATTCCAGTTCCTGTTTCTCGTTTTGTTTCTCCGCGGTTTCTGTTTAGTAAACGAAGCAATCACTCTGCACTGTACGCGTTGCCTTCTTCGATGTTCCAGCACGCTTGCGGGCACATCGTGGCTCAAAGAGGTCCTAAAGGCCCTAAACCCTGAGTCCTAAAACATCGCAGTTTCCAGACTCCAAGCGACGGATTCCGATTCCTTAAGGATCTCAATAGCTAAATAGCCCAAATTAGCCGAAATTGGATGGTGTTTATAGACTTTTTTAGACTCAACGGAGGTATGCTCCATAAAATCGGAGCCCGGGGACCAGAGCTGCCTGCCAGCTAGGATAGACTTCTTCTTCAGCATCTCTTGCTTCTGATGTTTGATGCTGCTTATGGAGAACTGCATAGCTATTGCAATCCTCATACAAGATATTCTACCCTAGACCCTAACACCCTAAACCGTGAACCTAAGATGATTCTTTGCTAGGTGGGCGAAGCCCAAGTTATGACCGGGTAATATCCTGTAGTATCTGAGCCTGCCTATCATATATAGATCACACCAGCGTTTCGTAACACACCTAAACCCTAGCCCTAAACCCTAACCCTAAACCCTAACCCCTAAACCATATGACTTCTGATGCCCTTACATCAAAGCCCCTCTAAAACCCGTAAGCCCTGGAACCCCGTAAGGATGCTCAACAACTGGCTGGAGAACGGCCGCGGCGTCATGAAGGCCCCCCTTTTGCCCTAAACCCTAAGCCCCAAATCCTAAGCCCTAAACCCTAAACCGTAAGCCCTAAACCTTAAGCCCTAAACCCTGAACCTGAACCAAGATCAAGGGTTTGGGGCTCGGCCTGGGATCCAAGTCTATAAGCAACACCACTTGAGCTATAGCTTAAACTCCTTGAACGGGGTTAGATAGGGAGTGTATGGGGGAGCATTATAGGGGCTATTACGGGGGATACTAGGACTAGGAGTTTAGACTATAGCTCGCTTAAGGCCCTGAGCTCTATGAATAGGTTGGCTTGCCTTTTTTGGATCCGAAATGTTTGTGTCAGCTCGGGCTTAGGCCCGGAAAACCGTGTGGGTGCCTTGACGGTATCCGGCAAATGATGCCATGCAAATCCGAGACGACTCTGAAGACACCTCAAAAGAGGAGCATAACATGTCCCCTCAAATTTCCATGGACTGCATATGAGCAGCGGCGGTCATGTACGTAAGAGATCAGAAAGGTAGCCCGGTCACCAGCCCAAACGGGCGGTCCAGATGTAAGGTCTAGGGTTTAGGGGGGTCATGCTGTAGGCATGTTTCATGATACCTACTGCCAATAAACGCATAGTAACATGATGAACGAAAGCAGGCAGTGTTGCCGATATCAAACAAAGATTAAACATGCGGCGGACGACCCAGATTGCAAATTCCGCAGAAGCAACATGTCACCACATGCTCCTGGGTTCTGGCAATACCCTGTAAACCCTAAACCCTGAACCCTAATTGAAATCCACCCAGTTTGTTTTTTTGGGGCTGCAACTTTTCTAGGGCGAATTGAGACAATGAACGGAGGGTCGGTATGTTTGTACAGGGTCAGGTCAACTTCGTCAGTAGGTTAGTAACCCCTCGAAGCCACACAGAGTTTGCCCAGCTGTTCCCATTATTAGCTTACCACCCTAAACCAGAAGCCCTGAAACCCAAACTCCAAGCCCCAAACCCTAAACCGTATACTTACTAAGCCCCCTGAGCCTGCAAGCACTGTTTCTTTGAAGCGGAGTCTGCTCGACAGTCTACCTTGCAGTTTTCGAGATGTTTCTCACATGGGATTGTTCTGTCAATGTCAGCTAGGAAGAATACCCTAAGGGTTCACGTACTGAATAATCTTATACTTCCCCAAAACCTGTATTTCAATTGCTATTACCCAAATCCCAAGTACCTAGTTCTTGGGTACATAGACCCTTTCGGACAGATAGGTAAGGGAGGGCAAGCCCTCAAGCCTGAGATCTACGCCTTGGCTTCTAACTGGGCGCCCGACACCCCACCCAAACCCTCTGTCGCCTGCAGCTGTAGCCTGGTAGGCATACCCTCAACCTAAAACCTTAAACCTAAAACTGTGAACTCAAAACCTTAAATCATAAACCTTAAACCCTAAACCCTATAGCCCAAGCCTTGTTAATTTGGAGACCCGGCATTGGCCTGGTAGGCATACTGGCTTACGGGCTTCACGAACGCCCAGGGCTTCCTGACGGGCATGCGCCAGGAGGCAGAAGTATGGAGTTGTTATGGGTTAAGGATTAGGGTTTAGGGCCTATTTAAGTTTCCGGTTTTAGGGTTCAGGGTCCAGGGCTCAATCAGCGCTTCTTAGATTTTAGTTTTTTTTTAGGTTTAGGGGCTGGGGTTCGGGTCTAGGATGTGGGGTTCAGACTTTAGGGGGTAGCGTTTAGGGTTTCCGGCTAGGGTTTAGCGTTTTAATTGGGTTTAGGATGTAGGGTTCAGGAAATTCCCTACCTCAGGGATCTTGGCTCGATGGTCTAGGATTTAGAGTTTGGGGTCCACGGACATGGAGCTTGACACCCCAAGCTGCTAACAAACAAGTGGTTGTGTGGCCATGGCGAAAAGTTTGCCTACACCTTCAGTACTGCCCCCCCCTCAGTAACAGTTGGATAATGATTATAATATGGTTGTATATAGCCCTTAATAAGACCTCCCAAAAAAAGACTGTTACTGGGTGGGGGCAGTACCCAACATACACTTCCTACCTCAGTGACATTCGTCGCGTCCCGAGCGTCTCCATGGACTTCAGGAGTACGGCGTTACAACCTTTGAGACTAAACCCGAGAAACCCTAACCTCTAAACCCATGTAAGCCCCTAAACCCTATAAACCCCAAACGCCAAACTCTCAGCCCTCAAAGCCTATAAATCCTAAACGCTAGACCCCTGCGCCCTAAACTAGCATGACTGGGACCGTGCATGCTAGAAAGCCTGAACGGTCAGATTTTGAGCGTCAGCCCAAACCTTTAAAGGATCCCTGTATCCATCAGTGGTTTAGGCTTAGGGCTTAGGGTGGTGTATTTGGGGGGTTTCCCAACAATAGGAGTACCTTTATTTTTCGGGGGTCGTATTATAGCAAGGGTTATAGTATTGAAGATGTTTGGGGGGTCTCTCTATTTGGGGATACGATGATTTATGACTTAAGGTGTATTCGGCTGTTTGGGCTGCTTGGGTAGCCTAATCCCCTTCACAGGTGACGCGACAGCACAAGAAGGATCAGTGGGCTCTGGATGACGTCATTTCTCACACGGAGGTGTGGCTTGGCAAGCACCGCACGCACCCTTGCTCGTGCTTGGAGGGTCAGGGGACTTAGTATGTAGTTTAATAGGGGCATAACTGTGGGTATTACATGGCCTTTATTGGCTATTAACCTGCTCACAATGTCCTATGTAGCTTAATGAGGGGGACAACTAGGGTTCTTATATGTTTATAGTGGTTATTGACCTGCTTACTGAGTCCCCCCCTGACCCTCCAAGTGTTGATTTCTTCTCAAAATATCCTAGCAACTCTGTGCTTCAGGGTTCAGTGTTTAGGATTTCGGATTTTGGGTTTAGGGTTGAGAGGGTCATGCTCATTTGAAAGACTTTGGACTTGGAGGCGCCGCGGCTACTTAGGGGTTATCAAGGGGGATGTTATGAGTTTAGACTATGGCTCAAGTTATCTTTGGCGAGAAGGGGGGCCCTGCACAACTGCAAACCGCATGATCAGATGTAGCCCCATGAAGGAGCCCTGGGTTAAGGATAAAGGGTTCAGGGTTTAGGGTTGAGGGTTTAGGGTTTAGGGGCCCTGTTGACTTCAATTGTGCCGAAAAGAACGGGCCTCTGAGGGACCTTAGGAATATCTAGGGGTCAACAATAGATTAATTGACAGTCAAGCATTGCATTAGTGGGTTGCTGATTGCTTTCAAAAGATCCGAACTCAAGGCCCAAATCAACATCGCCCTGAAAACTCAGAGCTTCGAGCCTGAAGCCCTCAACCTAGGTCCAAGATCCAGCTCTACATCCCGAACTCTACACCCCAAACCCTAAACCCTAAAACCCAAACCCCCCAAACCCTAGGACCAAAACCCCCCCAAACCCCCAGGGGCCCATACTTCTAGCCTTAGAGACTGAGGCTTCCCTACGACATGGAGCGTATCCGAGACGTCCCCGAGGAGGGACAGCAGCTTGCCGTGAACAGAAAGAAGCAACTCAAGGCGGTTTAAGGTATAGGGTCTAGGGTCTAGGGTGTTTTAGGGCGGTTTAGGGTTTGGGGTCTAGGGTCTAGGGTGTTTTAGGGCGGTTTGGGGTTTGGGGTCTAGGGTCTAGGGTGTTTTAGGGCGGTTTAGGGTTTGGGGTCTAGGGTCTAGGGTGTTTTAGGGCGGTTTAGGGTCTAGGGTTTAGGGCTTTGGGCTTTTAAGGCAACTTTGGGTGTAGGATCCACGCTGTTTAGGGTTTAGGTTTTGGGCTCTGGACTCAGGATTTAGGATGTATCTACTCGGGGCTGCAGAAGTAGTCATATGGTTTTCTGGACTAATTAGTGAGTTGCGACTATAGTTGTCCATTTATAACTTGGGTCAATCCCCCACCCAGCAATGGGTACCACAAGTGATTATTGTAGGTACATGAAGGCCCAATTAACTCCATATTCAAGGCCTCTCACTGTAGGGGGGATTGATCTAACTTCTAGCCCTTGACCTGACTCCACTGGTCTCCAAGTAGCGCCGGGAATCTTGGTGCTCAGGGCCTGGAGTGTGAGGGCTCGAAAGCGTAGGGTGGATTAATGTAGGCCTGTGATTCATAAACCCGCTCCTTTTAAGGGTCCTATTATGGGAATCCTGATGATACTCCCCATTGAATGGGGGATATTCATCAGGTGTCTACAGTAGGGAGCCGGGTTGTTGAGGTTGAAAAAATTAGTCCAGGGTGCCCGGGTTCGCATGAGCCTCCGAGGCAATTAGCCTTTCAAGCCTCTTGTTGCATTTTTGAGCAGAGTCTCCAGACAGCTTCTGCAACATGGAGGAGGCCGGACCTTTAAGCCTAGGTTTGCCTGCGCAATTAGCGTCGGCCTTGAAGGCGGGGATTTGGGAAATCAGGGTTGCGGGGTCAAATGTCCATCAAGGTAAGCGCTCAGAAGTTAGTGTTGAAGTATGGTTTGAGTCTTAGATCATACTGCAGAAGGCAGATGTTCAGGCAGAGGTACCCTAAACCCTAAGCCTTAGGTCGACAGGTTACACCTCCCTAAACAGAGGGGATGCCACGGTGGTTCTCGGAATGTTGAAGTCCATCCCTGGCCTGTATGATACCGCTAAACACAGCCGCTCCCCAAATCAACGATTTTTCACACATTGGCGTAATATTGGGGTGATATAGGGATAACGGAAAAGAAAATGGAAACTACTTTTTGGGGTTTAGGGTTTAGGGTTGAGGGTTTCTATCCCCTTGTAAAAGGATGTTGTTGTAGGGCCACTTGTGGGATCACATGCAGTACTAGTTAGGGGGAGTTTACTTTCACTGTGTCCCTTTAAATCTCCTCACGTGCAATATACAAATGACAGCAGTCCTTTCTGGACCTTGTTCATGTATGCGAGAGGGCGTTTTTTCATAAAAGAAGACCAAAGTTCCAGCAGTTGCAATGCCCAAGCGTATCGTTTACTCAAAGTCCAAACGCCTGAATTAAACCTTAAACCCTAATCCTAAACCCTAAACCTGAATCCTTAAACCCTAAGCCAAAAGGAGAGCTTATCATAGTAGCATGGGTACATAGGGTTTAGGGTTTAAGGTTTAGGGGGTTAAGGTTCAGGGTGTAGGGTTTAAGCTGCAACATATGGGTATATAGTAAACGATGGGGCTTCCTTTTTATAATATCTTAGTTTTAGTTCCTTAGCAGCAACCCAGTAATCTCCCCATCTATCTACAGCGCCCCTACAGGTGCGGCAGAGGCATGAAAAATGACCAATGCTTTTCCTGACATTCACTATATACTATTGTATATCACACACTAGACCCCATGCTCCAGTGCATCCATTTAATGCCCAATAGGAACAAACCGTCCTCGAGGGTACAAATCGCTCTTGTCTCACATTTGACGTACAAGACTTCTGTCCGTTTTACGTCAAACCCCTATTCTAATTATTTTGGCCCCTACAGTACCCCAATCCTGACTAAACCCTAAACCCGAAACCATGAGACCTAAAACATTTAAAAAACACAAAAACTAAACCATGAGACCTAAACCTTAAAAACCCTAAACCATGAGACCTAAACCTCAACCCTCCAAATCTCAGGAACATCTGGGGTCTCTTCATCGAGGGAGGTCGCTGGAGCCGACAGGACCTAATTTGGATTTCGAAGCCTTACCCAGACCCTCCTATGTAGTTCCTTTTTGGGTAGTATATTATGATCCCCTACCAAAAAACCATAACAGACTCAAAAAGGAACTACATAAGAGCCCTTGGGTAGTTAGAGGGCCAGGGCGTCATTAGTAAGTAGGAGGGTTTAGGGGTTAGAGGGCCAGGGCGCCATTACCCAAAGGGTCCATGTAGGTATATGGTATATACTTAGGGCCCAAAGGGGTTCCCATATACCTACTTTGAGGCCCAAGCATACCCCATATAGCTACATGGACCCTTTGGGTTCGTAAGTAGGGAGGGTTTAGGGTTTAGGGACAGAGGGGAGAGCTTACGCGGCACATGACGACCTCCGCTGTGCCCATTAAATTAGGGATTTATAGGGTTATATAGCGTTATATAGGGGTTACATAGGGACAATGGAAAAGAAAATGGAAGCTACTATGTAGGGTTTAGAGTAGTTCCCCAAATTAGGGTCCCACTTTGGTAATTATTAAGTCCCCCTGACCTTTCAAGTCTTTGCCCTTGGGCTCAGGGAGGACTTTGTAGGAATTTCAAGAGATGACATAGAGGCTGGTTTAGTTTTGCATTGCTGAAGAAGCCTAGAAACCTACATTTGGTAGAGGAAACGTTGCAGCATCCCCTTAACCCTAGACCCTCAACCCTAAACCCTAAACCCTAAACGCTTCGGAGACTTGAGCTGGTAGAAGGTTTCTACCACAAGATACACCTTATAATCCCTTTACAAACCCTCTATAATCCCTGTAGTCCCCATAGTTTCCATTTTCTTTGCATTATCCCTATACAACCCCCATAATCCCCATAGTTTCCATTTTCTTTTCCATTATCCATAAATAACCCCCCATAATCCCCTGCAGAGTTTGCTAGATTACGTTCATCTGGGATTGCGCCGGTCCATAATGAAGGGCCTTTTAGGGTTCAGGGTTTAGGAAGCTTGTGTAAGGGGGCTCAGAAGGTGAGATGAAGGTAGGTGGGTTAGAGGATCCTTAGTATATTCTCTATTA